GATTATTGCACCGTCTTGTTTTTACGAAAACTTTGTAGTTACTCGTTCACTATCTAAGTCTTTACAGTGCTGATATAACTCTTCCTCTTCAAGTGGTCCTTGCAAACCCTTATGAAATATTTTTCTCATCCACCAGAAACTCCATCTCGAAAATATATTACCGGTTGAGTAGGGATTCTTTGGGCGTTCAATTTTTCTTCTAGTCCGATTCATGTTAAATTTCTTTATTTACAGTTACGTTTGGTTATGATAAACCAAAAATGTAGTAATAAATTCGAAGTTCAAGAAATGAAGATAACCGACACGAGCACCACTCAATATGGTGAATGCAACAAAAATTTTTTAAATCGTGAATAACAGTAAATAGCAATGCAAAAAATTTACAATATTTTTTCAATGTTACAACAAAACTTTATAGACAATGTACGGTAATTATGCGTACTCGTTCTCGTATTCGTACAACAGAAATTATTTTCAAATAATTCCTTATCCTTATGCAAATCATGCAAAATTGTTATATTATTCTGTTTAATGAATTATTATTATTAAGACATATTGAATTAATTGCTGCAAGTTAATTGCTACACTCATTAAATTTGATGAATGTTACCAATATATGAATAAGCTACAATTCAGTTTGAGCAATGAAGCGTAAACGAAACATTGGACCACTAATTTTAAACAGCAAAAAACACAAGCGCAAAAAAAGATTTAATGAAATAAGTGTTATTTAACACTTACTTTGTGCTCAATGGTCGTTTGTAGATTCTTATCCAAATGCACCTTTATATATAATTTGGGTGCCATCCAATTTGGCACGAATACGTTTGCCTACGATCTCTGCTGAAAACACTAAATCTTCTAAAATAAAATACACAGCAGTTAAACTACGCGAACGGATTATTGCACCGTCTTGTTTTTACGAAAACTTTGTAGTTACTCGTTCACTATCTAAGTCTTTACGGTGCTGATATAACTCTTCCTCTTCAAGTGGTCCTTGCAAACCCTTATGAAATATTTTTCTCATCCACCAGAAACTCCATCTCGAAAATATATTACCGGTTGAGTAGGGATTCTTTGGGCGTTCAATTTTTCTTCTAGTCCGATTCATGTTAAATTTCTTTATTTACAGTTACGTTTGATTATGATAAACCAAAAATGTAGTAATAAATTCGAAGTTCAAGAAATGAAGATAACCGACACGAGCACCACTCAATATGATAAATGCAACAAAAATTTTTTAAATCGTAAATAACAGCAAATAGCAATGCAAAAAATTTACAATATTTTTTCAATGTTACAACAAAACTTTATAGACAATGTACGGTAAAATTACGCGTACTCGTTCTCGTATTCGTACAACAGAAATTATTTTCAAATAATTCCTTATGCAAATCATGCAAAATTGTTATATTATTCTGTTTAATGAATTATTATTATTTAGACATATTGAATTAAGAGAATGTTTTTATTTAATTTGTATGTTTCGTATTTTTTTTCATAGTAATGAAATATTTTTATTGTGATCAGAATAAAAAAAACACTAAACAAAATAGATAATAAAAAAAATAATTACTAAAGCTTTTACGCACGTGTGCAAATGTAAACAAAAGAAACTTTTAATAGATGTTAATGATTGGGTTTAATAAAACTAAAAACTTTTTTTAAATGTAATATGCTCTTTAAACATTCTGCACATATTTAAGTATTTTAAGAAATGTGACAACATTGCATTTATGATGAAATCCATCAAATTATGTTTGTGTATGTTTATGAGAGAACAAATAGTAGAATGAATAAAAATTACCCAGCGGCACCATTATGCCAGCGCTGAAAAAGTAAGCGAGGAGGTAATAGCTCTTCGTTTTTATTTTTCTTTGTTTTCGACATTTGTGTTCGACATAGGCAATTTCGGGGTTGAAATTATAAAAGAATGAAGAAGAAAAGCATATGAGAGTATTAAGAATTTCTTGTTTTGCCTACATTGTATACATTTAGTCTGCTTTTGATTTTAGTGAAGTGCGTGCAGTGAACAATTTTTAATTTTTAAAATCAAATAAAAAACAAAAATATAAATAAAATATAATTTGTAATTTAACATAAACTCACTGTAAGTATATGCAAAATTAAGTAAATATATTTAAAATGATAATTATAATTTTTGTTTTGTATTATATAGATGCATACTGTAAGACATTATAAATGTTTGGTGAAAAAGAAAAAGGAGGAATTTTCATCGTTTAAAAAAGAAGGTATAAATGAAACAGGGAATTTTAATCGTGCATTTATTAAAATATTTTATTTTTTTATAGAAAATGATTTTCAAAATTTTGGTACGAAAACAATACCTTCCTGCAGTACAGCTGAACATATTAATGGTGATATTAATAAGTTAATATTTAAATAAATTAATATGAAAATATGTTAACAATTTAATATATAAATGAGGTAATATTTAAATTAATTAACATGTAAATAATTATATATAAATAATTTAAACTGTAAATAAGTTAATATGATATATATATATATTATATATTTTTATGTAAATATTAATATTTTGATTTTATAAAACATAAATATAAAATATAATTCATCCAAAAAAATTTTTAGTATTTTATTTAAAAATCAATAGCATATGTAAAATTTAAAAGGTAAGCTAACATGTCAGCGCTGATATGTTGCATTACAAATTCGAAAAGGTAAGCTAACATGTCAGCGCTGATATGTTGCATTACAAATTCGAAAAAGTAAGCGAACATGTCAGCGCTGATATGTTGCATTACAAATACGAAAAGGTAATCGAACGATTCAGCTCTTGCCCGCAAAGACATGCACGTGTTAAAGTAATTAGGAGTTTCCTTTGAATAATCAGCGCTAGGCATTACCATTCAGCGCTGAGGGAATCGATTCCCTCAGCGCTGAAAGTCCCGCTGGGTATGTTTAAATGCCCTGCAATGTTTGAATGTATTTGTTACACAAGCAAAATACACTTACAACACCCCAGCGGGACTTTCAGCGCTGAGGGAATCGATTCCCTCAGCGCTGAATGGTAATGCCTAGCGCTGATTATTC